AACCTTCCTCTCGGTCCTTTTCCCTCGACCTTAGCCCCCTCCCCTACAAACTTCCTTGATCCTTAATCCCCGATCCTGGAACATCTCCCTCTCTCCTGGGCCCCCCTTCCCCCGCGCCCCTCTTGACACCTCTGTAGACCTCCGGAGAAAATCATGATGATGCAGGAGGAGGGTGAGGAGGAGGAGGCGGAGGAGGAGGACCAGTGTAAACCCAAGACTCACCAAGTTGGAATACACCCTCTCTCCAAGCTTCCTCTTCACAGGCCCCTGCAATGGCACTGTTCACAGGATGCCAACGCCACGAGTTAACCTGATTGTTTCGCCTTGGCGGTCCTGAATCGCGTGAGAACATTATTCCTGGGACGTCAACACCGCGAATCAAGGTAACTGTTGCGCCCTGACAATCCTGAATCGTTCCAAAACACCATGTCTGGTGCGTTGGCCATGAGTACCAATGAACTTATTGTAATATTCTACTAACGATTGTGCGCGGCGCTAAAGCGAGGGCCACATTTTGAGAAGGAACCGCCCTTCATCCGTGAAGCTCTTGTATATTTCGGAAACGAGGGTGCGCGGCGCTAAGGCGAGAGTCACATGTTGAAAACGACCCGCCCTCCATCCGTGAAGCTCGTAAACATTTCGAAAACGAATGCGCGCGGCGCTAAGGTGAGAACCGCATTTTGAAACGACCTGCCCTCAATCCGTTAAGCTCGTGTAGATTTTGAAAATGAATGTGTGCGGCGCTAAGGCGAGAGTTGCAGTTTGAAAACGGCCCGCCCTCCATCAGTGAAACGCGTGCTGATGTTTAAAACGAAAGTGCGCGGCGCTAAGGCGAGAGCCACATTTTGAAAACGACCCGCCTTCAATCCGTTAAATTCTTGCGCACGTTTACAAAGAATGCTCGCGGGAACCAGGCGAGAACCACATTTTGAAAGCGGTCCGCCCTTCATGTGTGAAATTGTTGACGATGAGTAAGTTTCAGGATCGTAAATGCTGAGGGAGTCTCAGGCGAAACGCCCAGCCCGCCCTTTCGACGGGCCTCGGGGTGCGACAGTGAGGAGTTATACTTAAGGAAGAGGAATGGAGGAGGAGGAGGAGGAGGAGGAGGAGACAGCCACGGACTGCCCCAAATTCGTGGCAGTGTGCCAGCTCTGTGGGGCCAGCCTCGACCGGCATGTTTTTCCCGCAGCCATTGCTTATATCCTTTTCCAACCCATATTTCTATGATACCGGAGAAAAACCAAATCAGATTTTTTTCATCTTCCAATCGCTTCCTTATAGGACTATAGGGCTATCGGGCTATAGGGCTATCGGGCTACAGGGCTATAGGGCTATCGGGCTATAGGGCGATAGGGCTATATGACTGTGACCTATAGGGCTATAGGGCTATGGGGCTATAGAGCTATAGAGCTATATGGGCTATGGGGCTACAGGGCTATAGGGAGATAAGGATATTAGGGCTATAGGGATATAAGGCTATAGGGCTACAGGGCTATAGGGCAATACGGCTATAGGGCTATAGGGCTATAGGGCTACTGGGCTATTGGGCTATTGGGCACCCCCGGGCACCCGGGCACCTCCGGACACCCGGGCACCCCTGCACCTGGGCCCGGCCACCGAAATCGGCCACGCACCTCACCGGCCACCCGGGCACCCGGGCACCGCCGGGCACCTGGGCACCCGGGCTTCCGGGCCCAGCCACCGAAATCGGCGACAAACCTCACCTAACCTTTTAATCCGCTAGGACCCCTACAGAGGCAAGCTCTGATTGGGGAACATCCTGTTTCGAATACATCCTCCGCCACTCAGGACACCGCGGCATCGTCGACCAACCCAGCCTGGCATCGTCGGCTACGCGAACAACGGGCTCAAGCACGAGTACTACTTCGAGTCGCCGCAGCACGCGAACTTCCCGACCAGGACACCCAGTACCAGCACGACTCAGCTCGACGACTTCTTGTAGCGCATCACAGCGGTCAACAACCACCGATACTCCCACCTCACGTTCCACCTCACGTTCCAGCAATAGCTACATCATAGGGAGCAACAGCGAGTTGATCGGGAAGTTCGCCACCACCCTGGAGGTCGACACCAAGCCGCCCACGGAGCAGAGGAGCCATACCACCTGGAGCACCAGAGCCAGCAGAGGTGCCACACCATCCTGGAGGTCGACATCGAGCCGCCCACTCATTCCCAGCCCACCTATCTGCAGCCCCTTTCCCCCCGCTTCATCCCGCTAACCTCCCACCGCCTCTGTCTTGTGGCGGGGGGCGTGTCGGCGGCGGCAGGGTGGAGGCGGGAGCGCGGACGCAGACGGTGGTCGAGGTAAAGGCGATTGCCGCGGGGCACAGCCAGCGCACCGTGACCGCGTGCCTTCAATCGGCAATTACACGTAACCGTCTCACCCATACCTCTTGCCCCTCCTAGCGTCACGGCGTCTGAAGTTGGGTTCGGCGGGCTGGGACGAGACAGGCAGAGACCGACGGCGGTCACGGCAAGGGCAATGGCCGTCGCGGACACAGCCGACACAGCCCGACCCACCGCCACAGTGGTGCAGAGCCGTGCTAGCTTTCACTATCACATCACCGCTAAGCTACTTACACCCTGCGCCCAGCAGTTGTGTCCGCGGCTTGCCCGCGCAATTTGGCCACGCTGTCAGTGCCTCTCGCTACTGCACTACTGCCCTCGCCTTTTCATTCCCCGAGGAGAGCTGCCGCAGCCAGCAGCTGCGGCCACCGGTTGCCTGCAGGACACCAACAGGGGTGTGGATGTTGGATTATGTTAACGGATGGGGACGGACACAGCACTGACCAGTACCGTGCCACCCCGCGGAAGGCATACATTCTCCACGCACGGACCCCCCCCAGGCGGCCACCACCCCCGCGGTCTCGGTACCCTACTCCTGCTCGTCAGGGGAGGGTACCAGTCGCGGGGGTGGCGGGAGAGGCCCTCATGCCTTCTACCTGGGCGAGTGTGGCTCATTCTACCTGCGCAGCCACGGCCGCTTGCCACCCCAATTCATCCCTCCTCCCTTCCCCCGCGTCTTCACTGTCTGTCCTACGTTGACTTTTATTTCTACGACGCGTAGATACGTTCTGGCCAGTGGCCCATGGAGCGGTGCTGCAGGGGTCACATGGCCCTAGTTTGATTCACCCCCTTGAGGGCTGGCTGGCTCATGCCACGAGGTGCCAACTGCCAGGAGGAGGATGAGGAGCAGGAGGAGGACGACGAAGAGGAGGCGGAGGAGGACGAGGAGGATGCGGAGGAGGGGGAGGAATAGTAAGAATAATCGTATCCATGATAATGAGAAGGGCCTGAAGAAAAGTAAAACGATGAAGACGAATCATATGAATCGGAATAATACTTCGACGATTACCAACACTGCTAATACTAGCAATCCGAATTTGTTTAGTATTAGCAAGTTGTACGAGCAAGCACACAAAGTAGTACTACGAAAAACATCCAGTCATATTGCGAGTACTAGACATAAGAACAGTACGGATACCAAAAATATACGTGCTATACATAATAGTAGCAATGCGAATAAGCATGATCATACTAATAAGAAGAAGAGGAGGGGAAGGAGGAGGATGAGGAAAGGGAGGAGTCTTCCTCCCTGCGCCCCCCCTTGCGTGGAGACTTTCGCGCCTGGAGTCTTTTACATGTGAGGGACTGGCCCTGCCCAGGGACCGAGGTCTGACCGCAGCCCATGGGCGGGCGAGCGCCCGCTTTCGCTCTCCTCGACTGGTGCTGCACCCTGCTCGACACCTTGCTTCGTCATCTCTCCGACCCCAACTCTGGCTGTATTCGCCGATGGTCATGACATGGTAAGTCCTGCCGACCTGTGCGGCGTCTGCCTTCCAGGTGGCCGCGCGCCACAGAACGAGGTGCCGACGACGGCCCCCCCACGAGTCACAGCTGCAGCCGCTTCCTGCCCCCGCCCTTGTGAGGCCTCGCTCCTTGTGCTGACAGCCGCTTCCCACTATTTGCCGACCGTGTCTGCGGCTTCCCACGGCACCGACTCCAAGGCACTGAGCGGCGCAGCCCTCTTCGCCAATGTTTTTACTGGCGCCGGGGCCCTGGGGCCAACCCGCTGCACCCGCGTAGGTGTCCACTTGCGGGATTGTTCCCTGCTTCCGCTCGATGGGCGCGGTAGTTTCGTGTCGTGCCGATGCGGCGGCGACCCTAGCGCGGGCGTTCAATGTTGAAAGCCGCTGATGGCCCAGAATCGTCCGAAATGAAACGATCCGGCGATCGCCCAACGATGTGTCAGAAACCAACGCCAGGGAGGGTTGTCACGACGCAGACTTGCCGTGCGCGCCTCCTCCAGTCTTCAATCAAAGGCCGCCACAGTGCGCGCAATTTTTCTGGGTTCGCGGCTCACGATTCGCAAGACCTTTTGTTCACCCTCCTCGTTTTTCTCTTTTTCCCTGGAGGGGCGGCGCGAGCACGTGAAATTATTTGCGTTTCGCGCTTCTCGCGGCGCGCAGCGCGAACATAGCACAGCCCTTGTGTCCATTCCTGTCAGTGATGTCGAGGCTGCTGCTGCCGCCCCTTCCATCGGGGGGACGGACATGGTTTTGGAAATCGTAGGCAGAACGTTCAAAAACAATGCGTGATTATTTGAGGCAGGATTGGCTGTCGGCGTCGCCGCGGTCGTTGCCTATTTGGGACGCAGGCTCGCCTGCACAACAGCGGCCGCTGTCGGTTTTGGACCACCTTTGTTGCTGGGCATCGTGCCTTGGTATTCCCCTACATTGGGGTCCCATGCCAAGAAACACCCTGCTTGCCTCCAGGGCGCCCTGGGTTTCTTGGGTTTCGATGGCTTTGCTGTGGAAGGCGTGACGTTCCCACACCAAAAATCAATGGACGTCCTGGGGTTCCTGGGTTGGGTTTCTTGCGGGAGGGTTTTCGTGGTCGGGCATCCCTTGCGTTTTTCCCGTACCAGTTTCGGGCGTTCAAATCTCTTTCCCCGCTGCTTTTCCGCCGCGTCTCGGCAGGAGCTGCTCGCCGCGAGGTCGGAGCTCGCGACGGCGCAGGCGTGCGGCGGGGATAGGGGATGGACCAACAAGTACCGATACCGCAACTCCCAGGACCTCTTTTTGGGTGCGTTCCGACCAGAATTTCGAGGTGAATCCGGCGGTTGCGAGGAGGGCCTCCCAGGAGGCCCAAAAGGGTGAAAACGAGGGAAGGGCACCCGCTGGTCCGAAACAAATATGTGGAAACATGCAGTAAAAAGTGGAGGAAGTACATTGGCTTGGGGCCGCCCAGAGAACAACAGTAGACATCCAAGACACCGATTCCTGAAATGGGACGACGCTTGAAATCGTTTGGGATCAAAGACGGGCGTGTACCAGCATGGGTACCTTTTTCCTATGAGTGGCACCGGCGTGGTAGCTTGCAGGGCGGCGGAGGCAGCCGCGCGTTGGGCAGCAGAGTCAGGAGAGTCCAAGCCCAGACGGAGTAAGCCCAGACGGAGACCGAGCACTCCGCGTGGACTCGGCCTCTGTATGCACTCAGCCTCAGCGGATTCTGTGTGCACGGGTGCCCGACGTGAGCCCCCTGTGTTGCGTGTTCAAATCCAAGGGCGCCTGCGCTGCGCGAAGCGCGAATAACTTCGCGCAATTGCGCTAACCCCGAAGGGAGAAGAGGAGGTCGAGGGGGAATCGGAGCCGATCCGTGAAGCGCGAATGACTTCTCGCCCGCGAGGGCGCAAAGGAGAAAGTATGATGAGAAGAAGGAGGAACAGGAGGAGGAGGAGGAGGAGGAGGAGGAGGAGCAGGAGGAGCAGGAGGAGGGCGCAGGGGAGGAGGAATATGAGGAAGAGGAGGAAAAGGAGGAGGAGGAGGAGGGAATACGATTTTCCTTGTTTTGCCAGCGTAGCCAAGCTGCCAGGCGAACTTGACAAAAAAAGGAATGGTGGAGTTCCTTTTTTCAAGTGCCCTCGGGGCCTCCCTTTGGGCTCTTTTGGGCCTCTTTGGGGCGTTTCGGGTACCTCTTGAGGCCTCCTCTTGGGGTCCACCTCTTCTTCGTGCCTGTTACGCCTGGGGGTAACTCATCTTCGTGCCTCGAGGCACGGTGGCGGATAACTATATGCACACATGTGTATATGTATGTATGTATATATACTCTCCATTTTTGGCCGCTCTTCATTATGTGTTTGCCCTCTCATCCGTCTTCTATTCCCCTGACGACCCCCGCTCTGCCACGTTTCGCAAACCCCGCCTGCCCCTTTCTCCCTTCACTATTCTGGCCCTTCTCCCGACTCTCCCCACTACTTGCCCCATTCCTTCATCCCTTGCTCCCTCTGAAATGCAGAAAGAGGGTGATGATGACGACGATGTTGCTGCTGATGATGATGCTGATTATTCTTATTCGTCATATGAGCATTATTATGATGCTGATGCTGACGATGATGATGCTTATGATGATGATGCTGATGATGCTGATGATGATGATGATCATGCTGCTGATGATGATGATGAGGATAATGATGATGATGATGATGATGAGAATGAGGATGATGATGATGATGATGATGATGATGATGACGATGATGATGATGATGATGATGATGATGATGATGGTGATGATGATGATGGTGATGGTGATGGTGATGATGATGATGATGATGGTGCTGATGAGGCTGCTGATGATGCTGCTGGCTAGATGATGATGATGATGATGATGATGATGATGCTGATGATTACGATACTGGTGACGGTGATGATGGTGATGCCGATGGTGTTGAAGATGATGCTGTTGATGATGATGATGATGATGATGATGATGATGATGATGATGATGATGATGATGATGATGATGATGGTGCTGCTGATGATGATGATGCTGATGCTGATGATGATGATGGTGGTGATGATGACGATGCTGACGATGATGCTGTTTAGGATGATTATATTAGTGATGATGATCATGAGGAGGAGGAGGAGGAGGAGGAGGAGGAGGAAGTGGAGGAGGAAGAGGAATATTACTATTCAGAGGCAGATGAAGAGGAAGAGGAAGAACAAGAGCAAGAGCACGAGGAAGAGGAAGAGGACGTGGACGATGAAGAGGAGGAGGAGGAGGAGGAGGAGGAGGAGGAGGAAGAGGAGGGGGAGGAGGATCAGGAGGAGGAGGAGGAGGAGGAGGAGGAGAAGTAGGGTGAGGGTGCGGCGAGGAGGAGAAGTGGAGGAGGGGAGGAGGAGGAGGAGGGTCAGGAAGGGAGGGAGGAGGGGGGGGATGACCGTCGCCTGCTGCGATCAACGGCCGTCCCTCAGGTGCTGGCGCAGAGCGTTGTAGGGTCGCTCTGGCACCTATCTAAAGTGAGCTTCGACCGCCTTGGATGGGAGGCAGCAAGGAGGCGGTGGAGGAGGATTTGGACGAGGAGGAAGAGGAGGATGAGGAGGAGGAGGAGGAGGAGGAGGAGGGGATGGGAGGAGGCAGCATGACGAAAAGGCAGCAGAAGGTCCAGGAAGCCGAGGAGGCAGCAGGAGGCGCCTCCTCCCCGCGAGGCCGAGCTGGCGGAGGCCAGGGTCTCGTCGCGGAAGGAGCGGCGCCCCGCCACCCAGCACCGCGCGACCCTGGTCGGCGGACGCCGCGCCTGGGGCAGGGCCGGGACCCTGCCCCGCGGCCGCAGGGGATTTTTTTTCCGCCGCGCCTGGCTGTTCCCCGAGATGCGGGTTTTGCAGCTTTTCCACGCTGGGCGTTCTCGCCCAGCTGCGGGTCCCGGGGGGAGCCATCTCAGATCGACCCGCCTCGAATGATGCGGCGGAAAGATGGGGTGGGTCTAGGGCTCTTGGTCGTGATCTGCAAGGTGCTTCAACTATCTCGCAGCGTCGGATGTCCGGGTTCTCCCCTGTCCCATCCCGCCTGCCCCCTCGCCTGCCCTGTCCCGCTGGCCCTGGCCTCCCGAGTGCACGATCGTCGTCATCGTCGTCGTCTGCTTGCTCCTCCCTCTTGTCCCCATCTACAGTCAAGACGTTGAAATAAGGACCACTCCGGGTCAGGAGGGGCTGACCAGAAGAGCCCTTCGTTCCTTTTCAGCCTTCTTTATGGTAGCGCGATGACTGTATCTGGCCGGGCACACGGCTCTCGGTCCAAACGGGGGACGGGGTTTTCTCTGAGTTGGGTGGGAGACCGTTTCGGGCGCCGAGGCGGTCACGGCTCAGTCCAGGATGAAGTCTGGCCAGGATGGACTTCGGAGGGGTGAAGGGGCAGAGAGAGATTCTTAGGAGGAGAAGGAGGAGGAAGAGGATCAGGAGGAGGAGGATCAGGAGGAGGAACTGAGGATGAGGGCGAGGAGCGAGGCAGAGGAGAAGGGAGGAGGAGAAGGAGGAGGTGGAAAGGAGGATTAGGAAGAAGGGATGATGAGGAGGGTGACGAGGAGGAGAATCCTGGATTGCGCTGCCCGGCACAGTCACAGCCGATACTTTTTCCACACTTTCTCCTCCTGCCTCCCGTCCCCTGTCGTCGTCGTCGTCGTCGTTCCCCTTGTCCTTGGCATCCCCCTCTCACCCGGCAGTCGCTCCGGCCGCGCGCGTGGAGAGGGGGGCGGGCGGCCCGGGCCACGGCTCGGCGGCGCGCGCAACGGAGTGGCGCGAGGGGGCCAGGGCCTTGCGAGAAGGTCGACTACGGGCACGTAAGAGTGACTCTTCGTTGGGGTGACCTTTGGTGCGGGCTCATTGGTGTCTCCCGATCGCTGAGCGCGATGCGATAGCAGCGTTTTGCACGCCCGTGTTTGGTCCCCCCGCGGCCCCCAAAAAGCCGCGCACCAAAGGTCACTCTTACCCAGGGTCATTCTTGCGTGTAGCCGTGAAGACGGGGGGGGGTCGCGCAAGGCAGGGGTCAGCTTCGAGGGGCTCGGGGAAGGCCTCTTGGAAGGGCTGCTGAGGAGCCCCCCTGTCCTCGCAGGAGCCCCGCGCCCTCTTAGAAGGCCGCCCCCTTTCTCCACGCCCTTCTGCGCGCCGACAACGCCGACAAACGACGGTCCGCCCAGGCGCTCCCTCCGCGCCAGGTCCCCCCTCCCACGAGGGTGAGGATCGAAGACCCAGGGGTGTTGCAGGATCGAGGATCCAGGGTGGCTCTTTTTGGCCTCTCAGGGGGTCTCCGTGGCCGCGTCTGGGCGCAGTGTGCAGATCGAGTAGAGGATGGCTTTCTGTTGACTCCCCGCTGGGACCCTCGGGAACGCCGCTGGATGCAGCCTGAACAGCCGGCCAGCACGGACTCGGGGAGGGGTCCAGGGTTCACGCCTGGATGAGTTTTGGCGATGATCTTGTGGGCGAAGACGCGAGAACGCAGAGATTACCACGCTTTGTGCTTCGCGGGAGGGGGAGGAGGGGGAGAAGGAGGAGGAGGTGGAGGAGGAGCAGAAGGAGGAGGACCAGCGTAAACCCAACGCGAGTCATCGATGTTGCAATAAACCCTCCTTCAAGTTCCCTCATCGTGGATCCGACGATAACTTGTTTTCAATGCGAGAAGTCCCCCGTTGGAAGACAAGTGTTTGAGAATCCTCAATCGCGCCAAGACGCCAATCCTGAGATTCCAACGCCGCGAGTCAACGTTACTGTCGCGTCCTGACGATCCTGAGTCGTGCCAGAATGCCCTTGCTTGGACTTCAACACCACGAATCAACGTGGCGGTGGCGCCCTGACAATCGTAAGTCGTGTTGGGACACCATTCCTGGGGCGCCCACTACACTATTCCTTGAAGCTGTCGTAAACTGGTAAGACAAATTTGCGCGGCGCCGAGGCGATAACCACATTTCTTCCGCTCTCCATCCGTGAAATGATGTGAGAAGATTGTAAACTTCAAGACGAATGTGCGCGGCGTTAAGGCGAGAGCCACGTTTTGAGATGGAACCGCCCTCCATCCGTCAAGTTCTTGAAAATGTCGAGTGCGCGCGGCGCAGAGGCGAGATCACATTTGAAACCAACCCGCCCTCCATCCGCGAAATCCTGGCAAACTTTTAAGATCAATGTGCGCGGCGCTGAGACGAGAGCCACAATTTTCAAAACACCCGCCTTTTATCCATGAAGCTCTTGCAAACTCAAATGTCAGGCGAAACGCCTGGCCCGCCCTAAGAACACAATCCGGAGCTCGACATAGAGGAGTGATTTATTGGGCCAAGGGTATGAGGAGGAACATGAGGGAGGCGGAGGAGGAGGCGGAGAAGGAGGAGGAGGGCGGACAAGGACCTGACTTGCGGGGCGCGATGCGCGAAGTTGTCTTGCGTACAAAGATCTCCAGCGTCATGGTGAAAAGGAGCGTTGGCTCGCTTTTCTGATACTGAACCTCGGGGGGCACTTGTCCAGCCCAGGGACCCACAAGAGATAACCCGCGGCGCGAGATCTGCATCGATGAGGAGGTCGAGGGCTCTGAACACTTACAAGTGCCGCCGACGACGACGACGAGGACGGAAACACATTGCATTGAAGAGGGGGTCGAGGGCTCTGGACACCCACGCGCTCTCGACGCCTGGCGCGCTCCGTTCGTTGGGGAGGGGGTGCGAGGAGGGCTTCCAACGTCTTCTGGCAATGTGTCGTCGTCGTCGTCGCCGTCGTCCTTCCTCCTGCCCCGCCCACTTCCCCCCTCCTCCTCCTCCTCGCCCCTATCGGGGCCGCGCCGTCGTCGTGGCCGCGTCCTTGCCGTCGCTGTCGTCTTCGTCCCTCCTCCTCCTCGTCCTTCGCCTCCTCCTCCTCCTCCTCCTCCTCCTCCTCCTCATCTCCCTCATTATCCTTCTCTTCTCCTCCTCTGTCTCCTCCTGCTCTCCTCGGCGCCGCCCCCCTGCGATGGCGGATGCGGGGGTTGCCGCCCCGAGACCCTCGCGCGCCCTGGCAAGGCCCAGGGGAGGGGGCCCGCGCGCCGGGGCGAGACTCGAGTGACTCCAGGAGGATGGTGAACGGATTTCAGGGGCAACATGAGGGGGGAATTCTCTCGAGGTTCGAAATTTTTGGTTGTTGTCCGTGGAGCTCGGTGATTTCCCAGCCAATGGGTTCCTCTCCAGCAGCTGCGCCTCGCCGAGGGCGTTCTCCAGGTGCCCAGATTGTCGTCCCGAACGGCCGCTGGAGGTCCTAGTTACGGCCCAAAACTACTTAGGACGGGGACACGCTCCAGGGGGGAACGCATCGACTCCCAGTCGCCCGTTGATCGCCGATGGAGGCCTGATAACCTACATCGCCCAGGAAAGTGCGGCTTCGCTATCGGGTACCCATCGCCCATTTATCGGCGATGTATTGCTGATTCAAGCTCGATGTCTCCTCTGGGCCAGTCCCCCCCCCAGTCGTTGCCCCCTCATGAATCGGGTAGGGGATCGACGGCAGAGTTGATGTACCCCAAACTTGATTTCCACGCTGAATATATAAGCAACAATGCAGTTTTCCATGGGTTCGACGAAGAAACCTGGGGCAAATCAACTCTGCATTCGATCCCATACTTGAATGAATGAGGAAGGGGGAGAGGTGAAGAGGCAGGAACGGACGGAGTAGATGAGGGAGATGAGAGATGGGGGGGAGGAGGGGCTTTCCTTCTCCTTCCCGTCTCCTCTCTCCTCTCTCCTCTCTTCTCTTCCTCCTCCTCCTCCTGCTCCTCCTCCTCCTCCTCCTCCTCCTCCTCCTCCTCCTGGTCCTCCTCCTCCTCCTCGTCCTCCTCCTCCTCCTCCTCCTCCTGCTCTTCCGCCCGACAGCGTCGGCTTGGGGCATTCCTTGAGTATTCCTCCTCCTCCTCCCCTTTCCGTAGCCATTTTGCCTCAAGATGCCAGGTTCCCTTGGGGCCAAAACGGATACTGCTGATCCGCGGCTAGCAATCGACCATTCGCCTGGCCAGCCCCAGGCAGAGTCTTCCGTGGTCCGCCCCACGGTGGACAGCTCTCGCTCTCGCTCTCACAGTTTCTTGGCATGGCTCCCGCTCCGTGGGCCGGCGGCCGCTGACAGGGTTGACTGGATGTGCAGGTGTTGTAGTTTTCGTGGTCTTGGGCTGCCTCTCCTCCATTGGGGCAGCAACGCGTCCTGCTTCAATTGCCATCTCCACAGGTCGGTGGCGTTCAAGTGTGCCAAGCCGCCCACATTTCCCGCGGTCAGCCTCAAACGCGGGCGCATGGAGCAGGTGTGCGCCTCCAGCGAGCAGCAGTTTCGCAAGGAGCTCGAGAAGCTTGCGAAGGAGAGCGCCGCTCTTCGCCAGGGCCAAGTTTTCGGGGGAGATGCTGCAGCTGGAGAAGAGCTCGCTGATCGTTCAGATAATCAGGTACGTGAGGAGCTGGCCGCGTTGGACACACACCTCAAGTGGCTCGAGGGCTTCCAGACCGAGTGGGCCGTGGCTCAGGCAAAAAAGGTGCGCTCGCAGCTTGAGGTGCAGCGGAAGGCGCTGTACGACAAGAAGCCTCTGCCCGCCAATCTCTCGGCAGCCTCGCGCAGGGTGGAGGCGGCCAGGAAGGCGCGCGACAAGGCGCAGGCCAACCTGGACGAAGCCAGCGGTAAGCTGCAGGAGGCCCAGCCGGCGGCGGCGGCTGCCAAGGCGTTGCTAGAGGCCCGCTCGGCCGAGTTCTCGGAGACGGAG